TTCAAATGATCTTCAAATGAATAAGGCAAGAAATTTATGAGGAGGGAGGATACAGTGAAGTAATCCCAATATTTATATATTTACTCAGCATTTATCTTAAAAATACTCCTTGAGGATAAAAGGATGCCAGTTTGGTTACAAAATTAAATACTTGAATGATGTATCTGTTTGTCTAGCAAGAAATTGCACTGGGAGGTGCTTCCACTCAAAGGACAGAATGAAGGGAAAATTGATATTTTCATGTAATGAAAGTACATACTTTCTATGAAGTACATAGAAACTACATAGTATGTAATAAAACTACGTAGTTTATGTATGTGAGATCAGCTGTAGAAACAACTAGCTATTCTAAACATGGTGTTTTATAACTTTCAAATATTTGATTTTGCGTTCTAAAGAACTATTTTCAAAGGTATTCACTGTGCAGCATACTACGTTTAAAGAAAGGAAAAATAGGTTCTGGTGCTTTGGCAAGTCTAACTGTGGATCAAATCTAGCTGAAGTCCCTATGTCACCTAATTTTATTGATACCAGCATGCATCCAGATACGTGCCAATTTTAAAGATAATTGTGTTCCTACCATGAAAATGCCTCTGGTATGTTTTCTTTATGTGGCAAGACATAATGACAATCAATACTGGTTTACAGCTGCTTTTCGTCTCCACAAGAGATGCATATTTTACAATACCACAAGATACAAGAATTTTGTTTGCTATTTAAATAAACTGAGTGGGGGGAGAGGGAGGGAAGAAAAAGAAAAAAAAAATCACTAGCATGTGGTGAATGCAACAGATCTGATAAATTGTATTAGTACTCATTTTTATTTGCTCAGTCCTGAATGAACTAGATAGCTTTCTTTTATGTAGCTTTTCTTGAAACACATTCATCTCAAATTTCATTATAAAACTATCTTTTATATCACACTAAGGAACCTTCAGTGTGTAATACACACACATAGCATGTCCATATTTATATACTGCACTCATAGTCCTATAAACACATACACACTGCATAAACGTGTGTGTTCAACTTCTGGGAGTATTTATGTTCCTAATGTATGTGTACTTTCAAAATGTATATATTTATATACCTCACTATTTATGCATGACGTGTGTTATAGATAGAGCATGTAGTGTTTTATCTGAGTAGTTTAATATTTCTGTCAAGTGCTTTAATTCCTTGTTGAACTGAGTATTTGGCCTTTAGAATTAAGACAGTTTCTAAACAAGAAATAATAAATAAAATTTTAGTATAAAACAGTTTAATGGTTATAATAGAAAATACATTTACATTGTGAACATCAAATTATAGTTCATAGACTAGCCCGTATTTTTTTAATGTTGGCAGTAGCTCAATAGCTTTAAATAGGATTCTTTTATACACGTGTGTGTATAAAATATATATTTTTTTAAATCTCAAAAATCACTACCTTTTTGCAGTTTATAGAAGGAAATGGAAATTGCGGGCCAGGAAATCACATCCCAGAAAGATCACGTCCTTGTGACAATTTATCGTGGAAAAAGACATGTCTTCCAATTGAGATGTAAAGCTGTGGTCTTATAGCTTGTGGTCAATGAAGACGCTTGGGGTTTTTTTGCTATCTCTTGCAAGAACAGGGTTATTAGCCCCTGAAGTCTTGGTTACATTCCAGTTTTAATAACTACACTTTGCCTACGTAATTCCCACTGTAGCTTCAGGTGGATTGTGGAATTTTCTTCACTTCCTGTCATAAACTATTCTGTAGTGTTACTGTGCAGCAGCTGCTATACTGCACTGCTACTGTTCAGTGCTTCTCCCCAAACTTATGACCCTTTTTATTTAATCTTACATCATTTTTTGAGTTTATACCAGTATTTCAAATGACACGTATTACAAACCATTACGAACTGGAAGCTATTATAAAAGCTTTACTTGCTGTTTTCAAGTTGTGTCTTTTGTGTTTGCTTGAGAGTCTAAAAATGGAGTATCGAAGACTCAAAAAATATTAGAAGGAAATGACACTAATTTTAGTGGCCTTACTTCCTCTGTGAGTCTTATCCATTAGTGATAAATGGAGATTAAAGACCATTTAAATGCATTTCAGGTGGGCTGTACTCACATATTGTCATCAGTACTCTTCCACAGGGGAAGCTGAGGCAGAAGAGCAAAGGGAAGTTATATTAACTGATTTTTTTTCCTCTTGCCCACTCAAATAATATTTACTAGAATTTTGAACAAAAGATATTTAGTGTTTTCACTCTTCTGTTCCAGTTCTATGTGCCTTGTTCAGAGGACATATTTAATATTTACATTTTCTCCAATAATTACTTGATTGATCCAATTTTTTTTTACTTCTTGCTGTCTAATTCGGTTAACCTTGGCTTATATTTGTTCTTGGTTTTATTTAATACCCAGAGTAGTATCTTTTTCTGTTTAGGATTGATTGACAGTGGAATATTCTGGCTAAGAGCTACAGAGTCAAACCACAGACTGAGACACTGTACAGACTGTACATCCTTGGAGCCTGCCAGCAGACTGTTTCTTGCAAAATACTACCAAGTATAACTATGAATTCTGGAATAACACTTTCTTGGCTATTTGTAAAGACAATGTGGAGTGTAGTCACTATGTTTATGTTTCTTGCTAGAAAACCATAATCAGACGGATGCATGATAAATCTTTCCTGTGATTATTTCCCGGCAGTTGTTGTGCATGTAAGAAGTGCTCTCATTCATCAGCATACTTTGTGCTTTTTTCGGGCCTCGCTGTTCCCAAGCTGATGAAGTAGGAAGGGCAGGAAATCACAGCACCCTCCAGCAGTGCTTTCCTTGCCATGGGTGCTGGTCTCTGGGTGGTCACCTTAGCGTGTTTCATTCTGATAGAACTGCACCTGCAAATGACAGGGTTTGTGCGACCATCTTGTGGATGGGCAAAAGCATGAAACTGAGCAGCTTCTGCTTTCAGCGGGTTGGGCAAGGGGAAGCGTGTTTGGAGAGATGTCATGAGGTAATGGGATGGATCAGTGCTCAGGCCAGGTGCCTGCCAGCCCCTGCTGCCCCTCTGGAAGGATGGGAGGAGGCAGCTGAGCACGCCTTCACCTTTCCTCTACAGCATCTCAGAAATTGTGAGGCTTGCCAGTTTGCTCACAGGATGGTTTTACGTATAGGTTATTTACCATGTTAACTTTACATCCTTTAAAGCACTGCTGAGGTGGAAAATGCTATAAACCTACAACCGTTGCTCTGCATCATCAAAAGTAGAAAATGGACTAAAACAAACTGCATGCAAAAAGTGAACTTGAATTATGTGGTTAACGGCCTTTTTTTTTTTCCTTGTTATATCAAAATAAATGCAATCAAGACTGATTTTTAATCATAAGTAATAATGAAATTGTATTACACCATCTCTTTGAACTCACTCCTGGTACAGTCGATGGGCTACATTTAAATATTTATCTTCCTCCAAAATGGTAGACTTCATATAATTTCTGTCAGTTTTGTAGTGATTTTACATCCTAATTTTTGCTATGTTTGGGGGGGGAATTCTTGTTTTTTGTTTTGTGGGTTGTTGGGTTTTTTTGAGCATGTGTGTGTGCCCACGCATATTTGAGTGCATCGTTACAAGACCTATCGCCCTAACCGTCCAGCCAGGCCCTTGTGCCTCGGAAACTAAGGTAGATGAAGTTGAAAGGCAGTTTTTGGAAGGTTTATTTCCAAAGGGCCGCGTGAGAGGAGCCAGCGTTTGCCCAGCGGGGGCGGCGGCCGCCGGCTCCCCTCAGGCGGCCCGGCCCTGCCCGCGGCGGGCGCCATTTTCCGACATTCCTCAAGCGGGTGCTGCCATCTAGTGCCCGCCCCGGGGCTGCGCCCCCGCCGCCCCTCTGCGGGCAGCCGGCTCTGTGAAATTAACCTCTCCTTCCCGTAACTTGTGACGGGGAAAATCGGGGTTTTTACACGCCGCCTAGCCCGCGGGGGAAAGAGGGGCTACCCCATGGGAAGGGTTTGTGCAGGGCTGTGTGGGCGAGATGCGGTCTCTCGTCAGGGGGCTTCCCGAAAGGATTTGCTAAACGCCCCGTTTCGAAGCGATCAAAGACCTGTCCTCCACACAAGCAGCAAAACCTCAACACTCAAACGTTTTTATTTTGGGGAAGGGGATGCTGCTGATGCGCTTTTGATTTTTAAAACTTTTTGTCGAATAGTATTCATTTGACGCTTGTGTATTTTTAAGGATGAAAAGACATTTAGAAGACCTGGCATCGATAGACGCTTTTTGTGACTTGATTTTAAGGCAGGGAACTGGGATTTAGTTTTAGTTAGATTTAGAAGCTTTCCTGTAGTTTTCCTAATTTGGACTGTGAACCACGATGCTCCTAGCAATGACAACCAAAAACTTAATGTAATTTGACCCAAAGGAGAAATGCTTTTCCGTCAAAGTAAATGACACACAAGAAGGTAACTGTGAAAAGTAAATAAATTCCCTACTAGTTTAGTATAACTTTGGAACGTGGTTCTTGACTTAGTATATCGTGCTCTTTTTCTATGCACATGAGATTAACATCATACAATTGATGAAGCTGTATATTTGGCTCTGAGGTGCTCTGTCTCAGTCTTTTTCTTGCAATAACACTTGTCTTGCTAAGGGCTTCTGATCACCATGGGCAGGCTTAAAAAAAAAAAATCTTAGATCCATGCAGCAGCAGTCTTCTTTAATATCCTGCTCTCCTGGGTCTCTAACGAGAACAGAAGAGTTTTACCCGTGATATTTAAAGCAAACCCCTGTTCTTCCTATCAAAAATACTGAAGCATGTTTTCTTCCTTTTATAAAATCAGATTTTGAACCAGGGAAATGCGTGACATTTTGAGCACTTTGTAGCATGACTTATTTGAGGGTTGAGAAACGAGCTTCAAGAGGCTCTTTTTATGAGTTTGTCTTCAACTTTGAAATCTAATGTGGGATTTTCTGTTTTGTGAAGTTTCAGGAACAGTGCTCTAATCTCATCTTGATCTCTCTTCTCTCCTTTCCAGCACACATATTGGGAACAGATAGACAAGAAACCAGTGGAAGGTCAGAGAAAGATTTTAAAGAGAGAAGAGGCATCACCTGGGGTAAGTGGGGGGTGATGCCGGGGAAAGGATGAAGTGAGTCAGCATGACACACATGTCCACTTGGAAACCACAGCGAGATCTTCCCAGTGCACTGTATGAGCCTCTTAAAAGCAAAATCCAGACAGAGTCTGTCTCTCTATAAATCTTTTCCCCCTTTCCATTACTAGTTGGGTATTGTTGGCTCTAAGCCACCTGATTTTACTATGATTTATTAACTGCTATGCATTATATATGAGATTCAGGTTTACTGAAGAGTTACCCTTATGGTCAATGTTGCATACAAATCAGCTACTGTTAGAGAGGTTTATTGCATCTTTTTATGCGGCTAGGAGTTTTGTTAGGTCGTGTTAGAATTTGTGACTTGTAAAACAATACCTCAAAAAAAAATCCTCATCTGTGTTTCACATGGTGTATGTACTACATGGAGTACATCATATAGCACTGTTTGGCTTACAATCATTCCTAAAAAAACTGAGTACGTGGGCAGACTTGGGAGGGTAGTAGAGTGCTGTGTTGTTTTTTTTCCCCACAAAGTTCCTTAAAAAAAAAAAGTATTACAGTGTTAATGAAATTGGTGTTTTGTACCAAAATAGAAATGTTTGAATGAATGAAATAAGGGATAAAACGTTCAGTTGTGTTGAAAAACTAGCTGTGGTTTAGACAATAATATAGCATGTTTGAGAGATGCTGCTGCTTAAAGAAGTTACACTGCTATGCATTCCTTACTGCTGTTCTTTCTCACATTACTTGGTGGAAGCTCTGCAGCAGAGTTTGGCCTGTGGCCATAACCTTGTCTGTGATTATTCCAGTGATGACCAATGCCTCTCTTCCAACGTGGAGTATTTCTTTATGGCATCTTATCCTTTCATTTTCTGCATTCAGATTAGTTGTGCTCTAAAGATCAGTAAATAAACATGGGAGGAGAGGAGGGAGTTGATTTTAATCTAAAAAAAATAAATACTGAACATGTTTCAATAGTTTGGGGATTTTTTGCAAAGGGCAGAGAGGGAGGACAGGAAGAAGAAAGAGGTCTTTTTTGTTGTTGGCTTTTTTTAAATAAAATAATACAGTAAGTTGCAGAGGCAGAAATGACCATAGGGATGTCAAAAGGATGTGGGGAGGATAAAAGGTAGAATACAGGGTTTCACCATGTCTGAAATGTTGCTGTTATATTTAAACCACAAGCATTGCAATCTGTTTCAGACTGACATGTGTTATGAAGTGTTTGTGAAGAAAGGAGTTATTGTTAGGTAAAAAGCATTATATCCTAAACTTGAGTTAAGCAAATATTTCTGATTTTGATTCCTTGCCAAAGATAGTCTCGACAAACTACAGAAACATTTATAGACATTATTCTTTTATATAAGATTTCTCTGTACTACATTAATTTATTTTTAATGTATTTAGTAATGAGATAACAGAATTAATTATTTGAATTAACTTTTTACCAAATTGTATCACAAATTTAAGCACTGTTCCTAAAAGGCAGTTTGTAGAGAACCATGTTATAAACATATGAAAGCCAGGAAAATGATTCTTGCTTCTTGAGATATGAATTTAGTAGCATTTTATGTATTCCAGATACAAACAGCTTGATAGCTTCAGGCAACATATAAGTGACTCTCCTATCACTATTTACACACAGTTGAGCTGCTTCTTTTAGTTTTCTTCTTTTTTTTTCTTTTTTTCTTTTTTTCTTTTTTTTCACAAAAGAATGAAACAATCTGTTGGAAGAGAAAACTTGGGGGTAGCTCCTCAGTGGTGTCCCATTAAAGATATTTAACCTGACAGATCACACAGAAAATACTTCAGATTACCTCTTCGTACTTGTTTTGAGTTACTTCAGGCATTTTACAAATAAAACACGCTTCAATATTTGAAATATATTTGAATGTAAATCACTACCACTGTCTTCTGATGCATGATTTATTTTATAGACAGATAAAATTGAAGATTAAAAAAAAAGTGATGATTTCAGCTTGCCTTAATGCAGGACTAATGTTGAAAGACATACAGCTTCTCTTCATTGACACTTGGAACCAGCCCAAAGTTCTCTTTCCTTGGCAAAGCAGATACTGTGCTGCAGACAAAAAACTAATTAAACTTATACCTGTGGCAAGGATGTTTAGAAATTCGCGGAGTTCAAGCAACCAGAGCAAAGCATTGGTTTTCAGCTTTCAGATCCATTTTTTGATAACATGCTGTGTGGTAGAGTTTTTTGTTGTTTGGTTGTTGGTTGTTTTGTGTTTTCTTTTTTTGAGAACTGTCTTCTTATAGGAAGCCAAACATAACTGTAGCAAATATTCCCATTGTAAGTCACTGTTTCTTTCCATGTCTTCTGTAAAATAATACGCTCTCATAATGAAAAAATGGTGAGGAGAAATAAGACAAATAAAAATGAAACATTTAGCAGATGACTAGAATGGTATTATTAGCCACTGGAATGATACGGGTTGATGAAATCACAGCACTGAGGCAATGTTTTGACTGACTTGTTCAGTTTCCTGTATGAGTGACACAGCAAAAATTTCATGGCTTCTTACATTGGCATTTCAAACACTCCTTGTCAAAGCTAGTGAAAACATAGCATTCTCTTGTGCCCTTGCCGTTTGAGTATAAAAGGCAAAGCAATTTACTAGTTCATCTCTAATCTGCTTGCAATCCTCATCAACTCATTTGTATGTTTTTCTACTTTATGTGTGCCAAAGAGCAGAAAATGATCCCTACTGAAATACACCAAAAAGAATTTTTCAAGGACAGGTCTAACGTTACAAGAAATCTATTTCTTGAACGCATTATACAGTTGTTAGTGTTACTGACTGAGCGGGACAAAAATAGAATGAGTGGGTAAACATTGTGATATCCATATGTATCTGATTATACATATATTGAATATACTGCTTTCTGCTCAGAACATAATTGTGGAGTGTTCCAAGATAATCTGAAGACATGCTGCTTTTTTAAGGCAACAATATTGGCATCTGATATGGTGATCTTGTGCCATGTTGTCATGAGAGAGGTTACTATGTAGCAACAGTTCAATATCATCCTTTGGACTTTTCTGATAGACCACTTAACTATCTCAGCTTTTCCAGTGATCATCTCATTTATCTAGGATTATTGCAGTGAATTTACTGTTTGGTTTTCTTCCAGAACTGAAATGTCAAGTCCGGTGTCATGTATGCAGTAGCTTTGTGCTGTGAGAGCTCAACAGATCCACCAAAAGCTGCTAGTAGTTGATCTTTGGATAGAGCTAGAAATAAATAAATCCTCTTTAGCAGATCAATATTCATCCCATTTAATGCTTGATGTGAAACTTGTGGATTTGAAGTAGTAATGCTGATGTACAGCTAATCGTTGAAATGGGCATTAGGGCTTTTATAGCATGGCAACATATTGTCAGACAGGAAGGAGGAAAGTGTTGAGTGCATCCTTAGGGGGGGAAAGAACTCTGTAACAATATGCAATTTAATGCACATTTTTAATCCACACAGTGTCCTACATTGCAACAATTTGCTAGGTTACAGACTAATACTGTACATGCAGTGTTTATTCCAGGAGTTTACTTAGTAAAGCAGATGATTCCCCCTTTAGTGGGTCTTTGAGTCTAAATATAGTCATCCAGTCAGATTTCAAGAAATAATTTCCATTTTTAGTACTCTCATTTCAACTAGTTCCTTATCTATCCAACTGTATGCAAGTACATGGAATGTGCATTTTCCATGGTACAGAATATATATTCATCTAGTAGTGACCATGCATATGCATTTTTGTAGACAGACTTACATATTAAATTCCTGTGTAGAATTTGTATCGTACAGATTCAAGAGAAATAAAAGGACAACTTCCAGAGAATGGATAAAATATCAAGAAAAAGATTCTGGGGCAGTTTTCATTTGAAAAAAAAAAAAGTTTTTTTTTTAAGGATGCTATTTCATGATTTTTTTTCTTAGTCTACTGTATTAATAGAGCATTTAAATCCATTTTCTATCTTAAAATGAATAAATTAGTCTTATCGAGCGAGTAATTATATTTGAGCATATTAAGATAATATTGAGTAGTGACAAACATGGAAAATTGAAGGTTGAGTTTTATTCTGTGCCAAAACTGTGTTCTGATCTATATAGTCTTAATGTTACTATACATAGCTTTGTAATTTTTTGTCATTGCATGCCCAAGCTTTCAAGTTCAGCTCTAGTTTCCAGATGTTGTGCTGGCCAGCACTTACCTTCCTTAAATAGTAATGGTGGACTGTTAGTGGATGGGGAGGCAAGCAAAATGAGCCTCATTTGGTAGGAAATATGCCCTTTTTTTTTTTTTTTCTTGTCAGACAGAAGAACTTGCCCAAAATTGAGATGTCTCATTATCCTTAAAGGTAAAACAAACAAAAAAAGGGCAGTTGTCTAATACTTCCATTATTTCAGATATACTGATATTCTACCATGTTACACAATATTCAAAAATATGTATTATACATTTGTGCCAGACACTTATCTGTTTTGCTAAGGAGTACTTTAATCATAAAATTATAAAAACTTCTAGAGAAATACCTACTGATGCAATGCTTACTGAACCTCTACACCTCTGAAGACAAGGTAAAGGGTGGTAGAGCTGTTAGCTTCCTTTATGCTATCAAATCTCTACTCCTTTTAGTAAGTCTTTTCTGCATGACATCGGTTTGTAGTGGGTCCAAGATTTTGCAAAAATAAGGATCTGGGAGACAGCATGGAGGATTAAGTTTATCTACAAAACAGTAAATCACTGGAAAGGAAACAAAAGTCTACTTGTATTTTATGCCATAGAAGGGAGATGGTTTAGAGGACAGTGATGGTGGGAAATCTCTGGGTTGCTCTATCCTCTGTCAATGGTTTACACTCTTTTAGTCTCTAATCTGGTTTCAGTGGCCATGATAAAAAGTGATATGGGCAATAGGTGCTTCCCATGTTGCTGGATTCCCCATCGTAAGAGGGTGCTTTGCAGAAGTGCCCACAAAGTGATTT